GTAAGTGATGTATCTTCCCAGCCATTTGTGTTCAGCGGCATTTCTTGTGATGTGTGCTGTGGATTTAAAGCAGCTAACCAGAAAATACTTTCGGCCTTACGGAGTGAAGCTTTTATTTTGACGTAAACTGTAAATTAAATTTCTGTTGTAGATAGACTTTGGTAAAAATGCAACAGCAGGTTATTTTGATGTTATTGTTACGTTAATAGGCCTCATATATGTACGGTTTGGTAACCTATATCAGATTTTTTTTTTGTTTTTGTTTTTTTTTTTTTTCACTCGCTTTTCTTTCCAATGTAGTCATATCCTGTTGAAATTGCTAGCTAGGTCTCCAGATGTTTTTTTTTTCTTTTTCTTTCATATGTGTTGAAAAATATTTTCTATTTTTTTTTCTTTTGGTGCTGCTGATTTTCTGGGGTCGTAGGCTAGTTATAACGTGTTTAATTTCATTTCATTTTGAGTTTTGGTTGGAAACAAAGGGGTGCAAATCTTGAAACGCCAACAGAAACACTAGAAAGGAAAAGTTAGAGAACAAACTTAAAGTTGGCTTGAAAAAGCCAGCTAATTGCGTTAAAACGTTAAAATGGTGGAAGACTGCTGATGGTTGTTAAAGTGTTGCTAAAGTGTTGCTAGGCGGTTGCTACAGTATACAAGGTGGATGGTAATGTGTTGCTAGGTGCTGCCTGAAATCCACTGCCACCTTGAATTCAGTGCTACCTTAAATGCAGTGCCACCTTAAATTCAGTGCTACCTCAAACGCAGGTCCACCTTAAGTGATCCTGCAAAGTTTTGTGGTTCCAGCTTGAAAACTGTGGGATGAGAAACATTTAATTTTTGAGCGTAGAATAATAAGAAGAAGAAGATTACAAAGAACAGTAAGTTGGCTTTTTCAAGCCAACTTAATGATCCAGTCAGGATTGTTATCTCTGTGGTATCTGGGTAGATACAGGCAAGCAAGCTCTCCCATTGGTTAGGACTTAAGGAACTGGACTGAAGGCTTTACACGTAACCAACATAAGTAGTTCGTTCGTGAGGGGAAAAAAAGTCAGGAGGTTCTAGATATGTCACTTACTGTGAATATGAGCTGTAGTCTAAGCAGGTTCCGGGTGGTTGTTAGGAATGGAAAACATTGGCGGCAGGAGCTCTATGCCAGGACTCTTTACTGAGTCACCGTAAAACTGATACATACAAGCTGAAGCATCTGTTAATGTTTGTCACAAGCCTCCGATAAAACCTACAGAACACGTTTTATAAGCCTCAGATGTCAGTGCTCAATCGAGAACAGCCAAGCTTCGTATTATTGGAAATCCCATAGAGGTGCTTGCGGAAATCATATTGTAGAGGTGGGCTCTTTCACGGTTCGCCGTGTTTTGCCGTATCGTTCAGTCTTAACAGGTGCATCAACAGACAGGCAAAGAAAGGTGGTAATGTGATGGTGTTTAGAAATGAGCCGAATGTGGTTCTCATTATTATGATGAGCAGGAAATAAAGGATGAAAAACAGAGAGGGGTTTTTCCTTTTTCCTCCCTCTCTCTCTATCTCTCACGCACACCTTCTTTAGCGTAGGGAGGCTCCATGGTGTCTGTTGGCGTCTTTCCCAGAATTTTTTTCATCTCATTTTCCTCTTTGGTTCCTCCATCTCGCTCTGTCCCTCATTCTCCTCTTCGCTGTACACATGTTGACATGCTCTCCCTCTCGTCCCTCAGAATCCCCCACAGACCCTTCCTGCATGGTTTCCTTCTCTCCCTCATTCACTTCATTTTACTCCTCTGTTGTTTTTCTGTCCATTTTAAGCCATTGTGGGATGTTACACTGCGACAAAATACAGTATGATAAAATACACTTAAGTTCAACAAATTATTTAATTTATTACGACGTTTTTGCAATAAACAATTCTTCCATCATGCGGTGTGTTTGTCAACAGGATGTTATGGTTGCTAGGCAACATAACAGATCTTCTAGGGCCTGTTGTAAGTCTTTTTTCTGTGCCAAGAGAGAAGTTAGGAGACCGAGACGCAGAAAAGAGCCCAGTCTGACCACAGTTCTAGCGCACCGGCCTTCATACCGTATGTCTCCCCGGCAGCCGTTTGTGCATCTGTTAAGGATTCAGTAGTCAGGAAACACATCACATGCAACAGACATCCTGTTATAAGGCAGGAAACACATGACTAGCTGTGTGTGTGTCTGTTGGAGACACTGATCAATAGCTGTCAGTGATTGCAGAGCTCTGCTCTAAAATAGAAAAGAGAAAATAATAATAATAGTAATGATTTTTATTTATATAGCATCTTTCATACATTAAAAATGCAACACAAAGTGCTGCAAAGTTAAAACAGCAAAGGAAGAAGAGAAAAAAGATTGCAGAAAAGGGGATATAATACATAATACAATTGAAAAGCACGAGATAAAAGTGTAAATAAAAAAAATGCAATAAAAATGCAACAAGAAAATAAAAGTAGCAGTAATATTCCAGTAAAAACAAAGAAAATAATGGAGAAAACAATGAACCACAGGCTCAACGGGTTAAAATTTTGCTATATTAAGATTTTAAATGGGTTAACAATTTGGATAACATGATATCGGCCGAGATAATGTTATGCTTTATATTTTACTTTTGTGTTACAGTAGTTGTATCCTAACAGTGCTTTACTGACTCATACAACTGCCAGTTCTCAGTGGTCACACTTCTTAAAAGGTGATGTGGTGACCAAAATATCGTTTTTGTCAATATTGGCTGATATGGGCCCTTTTCACAAAGCGTCGCGATAACTTCCAGTTGAAGCGTTAGCAGGGTAAAGCTAACTTCCACTCCATATATCTACTGCAGAAGTGGTGACAAAATGTACTATAATGCTCAAACACTGAGCTACAACAGCTATATTTTAGTTTTCCTGCACTGTCATGACAAACAGTGAGAATAAGAAGTGGATAAAGCACTGATTTAACTTTAAACAGAGCTAAAATGCTAAAAAAAAAGCCGTCTCTCTGTCTTCGTACAACGTGCCAGCGATATCTGTGTTATTTCTGTTTAAAAAAGAAAGAAGAACTTTAATATGTAGTATGAATTTGATATACTCTGTTTATATTAAGCTAGCTATGCTGGCTAGAAGCTATTGCTAACAGTAGCTATTATCCCGAACTGGATTACTCGGCTAACATAAAGCAGCTTAACTGTACTCAAACTAAAAGAATGACGCTGTTTGGCAGATCGCTAACATAGCTAGCCAGCTAGCTTTAAAGTTTGCTGCTCAAATGAAGCTGGTGTTCCTTAAACTGCTAATGGCAGGCTAGCTAATTAGCGCCTGTAGCCTGCTAGCCTACCATCAGCTAAAAGTGTCTGTGAGGTCTGTAGAATAGACTTAACATATAAAAGTTCTGGTTTGTGTTTATAATATTAGAGAAATCGCTGGCATGGTGTAAATGTGTGTCAGAACCTGCTCCGCGTTAGCCAGCTGGTACTAGCAGCTAATGAAAGCTAGCTAGCTCACTTGTTTGGGAATACAGCTACTGTTAGCAATGGCTTCTAGCATAGCTAGCTACATCAAAACAATGTCTATCAAATTCATGCGACATATAAAAGATCTTCTTTCTTTAGAAAACAGAAATATTACAGAAATCGCTGGCATGTTGTACAAAGATAGAGAGACTGCTTGATGTGAGCAGCTGCAGCAGCAGTAAACAGGGCTACACCTCACATGCAGCATTTTAGCTCGGTTTACAGTTAAATCAGTGCTTCCATGAAAACTAAGGCTACGTTTACACAGCAGGTAAAAGTCGCCCAAATCTGATTTTCTCACCGAATCCGATTTTATAGTTTGGCTGTTCACGTTATCTTTTAAATGTGATCTGTATGCGACATCAGTCTGAACAGATCAGCTCCTAAACCGACCCGCATGCGCAACAGAACAATGCTTCACGTGGCGGCTCGTCCAGAGGTAAACAATCATGACGGCCAACGAACGCCAGTCGCTCCCGCAGCTTTCAGTTTCGTCTCCGCCAGCATCACAGGAGCGATTATGAAGTTCCAGTGGTTGACAACTGGACTCATCACCCAGAATGTGTTTAAGTTCGCCATAAAAAGGCCGCGTTATTCGGCCACTTCTTTGGCTCGTGTCCTCGGATTCTTTAAACTGCTCTCTGACGCTGCAGCCTCGGGCTCCTCCGGCCGCGTTCAGCCGTTTCGTTTGAAACCTCTTCGAACACGGAGCGGCTGCGATGAGTCTCCTCTAATGTTTTGGTGCAGAAACATCAGACTAAATGTTTGAGTCTCAGCAGCACGAAATTATGACGAATGTCGAGTTGGATTGACGTAAAAGTCGCATGAATTCCGATCTGGCTGTTTAGACTGAGTCGCATTGCTGCAGATCGGATACGTATCGGATTTCAGTACCACATAAGAAAGCGTCTCAAACCGGAATTGAAAATGTCAGATTCAATGCGTTTTTTGCTGTTCACACTGACACACAGACACACATCTGTGTCACATACAGAGAAAAAGATCGGATTTGGGCCACTTTTACCTGCTGTGTAACCATAACCTATGTCTGTTGTAGCTTCGTGTTTGAGCATTATAGTTCACTACTGTAACATGTTGTCATCACTTCTGCAGTAGTTATATGGAGCAGAAGTTACCCTTTACCCTGCTAACGCTCAAACCGGAAGTAATCGCGACTGTTTGTGAAAAGGGCCCATTGTTGGCCGACCGATATATCGCCCGGGCCCTGGCGCCTACGCCCTGTTCTTTATTATTTAATAACCTGGTGCATTAGAATTCTGTTGATGTGGGCTCATGTGTGTAGATTTCAGAATCCGAACCAGCTGCTTTGTAATGATCGACCTGCAGTGATTTAGAATAGATGATGTAGAGCAGACGAATAGACGATCTACTGCTGATGATGCTCAGTGAGCCTCAGACAGTAGCGCTGAATGTGAGCTCCCTCTCCAGATCTCTCCATCAGCGCCTGAGATCTGTCTAAATAAGGCAGTGTTACTGCAACTTA